TGAGTTGGCACTCTCAGTTGGGTTCCGCCAGAACCGCATTGTCACAGGCAGGCTGCGCTGGGCAGGCTGGGCCCAAGGGGATCCGGGCCCACGAGGGATCCCTCTCCACTGGCACCAGCTATAGGGGTCCCGCCAGGCCCCCCTGCTCCGGCTTCTGTCCCATTCACCTTGCAGTGTCTCATGGTGCTCACAGGCTCGGGTATTTGACACCCCCCAGTCCTGGGGCTGGCCCAGATCTGGCCCAACAGGGCTGCCCACGACCCTATCAGCCTGGACTGGCCCCCGCCCAATCTGCACTGCCCAGTCCCGCTGAGTCACTGTGTGTCGGTTGGTGGTTGGGCCGTTGCTGGATCCCTCCCTGTGGTCTGGGGCAGGCTGCTCTCCCCGGGACTGGGGGCAAAACCCTGCACATACAGAGGAAGTTTCAAAACCTGGGATGGGGCAATGGGCTAACGGGTGGTGACTCCACAGGCTGGTGGGATGTGCCAATGGCTGCGCGGTCCCCGCTGTTAACCGCAGAGCCCTGCTCCCACGTGGAGTGTCGTTGTGGTGTGGGGAGCAGGGCAGAGGAGGGAGTGATGCCAGGTTAACAACGTGATGCAGTGGCAGAAAAGGCTAGTGTCAGCCTGGGGTGGATTACCAGGAGGGTCATATGCAAGACACGGGAAGGAATTGTCCTGCTCTACTCGACATTGGTGAGGTCCTTCTTGGAGTTCTGTGCCCAGTTCTGTGCGCCAAACTTTAGGAAAGATGTGGACAAACTGGAGAGAGTCCAGTGGAGAGCAACACAAACTATCAAAGGGTTAGAAAACCTGCCCTGTGAGGAAAGGTTAAAAACTGGGCAGGTTTAGTCTTGAGAAAAGAAGAGTGAGGGGAGACCCGATAACAGCTTTCAAATATGTTAAGGGCTGTTCTGAAGAGGACAGAGATCCATTATTCTCCATGTCCACTGAGGACAGGACAAGAAGTAATGGGCTGAGTCTACAGCCAGGGAGATGTAGGTTGGATATTAGGGAAAAGTTTCGAACAGTCATGTTAGGATATAGATATTCAGGCCTGTCTGTAAAGGCCTATACTTTAAGAATGTAGGTATATGTTTATCACTTAGCTAGTTAGAGAGGTATAAAAGAAAGAATCAAAATCACTGTCTGCCTGTGTAAGGGCCTTCTCTCACTGTGACAGTCTGAGGCCCTGTTCTTAGGCAAAGGCCTTTGGCTGAGCTGCAGGGGCAGCCATAACCTGGGAACCGTATGACCACATCCTCACATTCCAGACTAGCCACACTGAAACAAGGCAATCTGGGGCTGTTAGGAAGTGAGCACCTCCAGGGAAAGGGAAGAGCCTAGAAGATGTAAAAGGAAATTTAGTTTGATAGTTTTCTGTTTGGTAAGAACTCACTTATCAATAGACACAGTTGGGAAACCCTTATGTCTTTATAGATGTAGATGTGAAATCCTCACAACTGTATTGTTTTGTCATTTTGTCCCACTTTGCTACTGTTTATTTGCATGGTCTCTGTCGGGTTCTGTGATCGTTTCTGTCTTCTGTATAATTAAATTTGCTGGGTGTAAACTAATTAAGGTGGTGGGATATAATTGGTTAGCTAATCATGTTACAATATATTGGGATTGGTTAGGTAAATTTCAGTGGAATGATTGGTTAAGGTATAGCTGAGAATATTACCATATACATTAGGGGCAAACAGGAAGTAAGTTGGGATTTGAAAATAAGGAACTTGGATTTAAGCTGCTGGAAGTTCACCCCAATAAACACTGAATTGTTCGCACCTTCGGACTTCGGGTCTTGTTGCTCTCTGTTCACACGAGAAGGACTAGGGAAGTGGAGGGTGAAGGAATAAGCCCTCTAACAGCTCCGAGGGGTGAAGTTCTGGACCAGGCTCCCAAAGGGGGTCACATCATTGGATAACCCCTTGTCAGGGCTGATCTAGGGTTACTTGGCCTGGGCTTGATGGCCTCTCAAGGTCACTTCCAGCCCCACATTTCTGTGCTTCTATGGCTGCTCTGCATGCCCTGCTGTTTGGGGGAGCTGCAGGGCAGTGGGTGAAGGGGTAGGAGATGCCAGCTCTGCCTCCGTGCTGCAAACCCCTTGGGGACAGAGCCTCGGAGGTGGTCGTGAGTCCCAGGGACCCTTCGAGCCCCAT